CGTGGCTTCTATAACGAAACCAAATTCTTTAATGCCTTTGTGTTACAATTAGAATTTAACATAATCTACGAGCCTAATTTAAATTACTGAGAATTATACACTCCTATATATGTGTATCGAGCTCATAGAACCGTCAAACAGTTCTAAGTGTTTTAGACACTTGCAGATAGAAACATAGTATAAACGTTATAAACAAACGACTCGATTTAACGCTTAGTAAAGTAAACTAAGGCAATATACAAGCTTACAAAACTGTAAACATAGAACTGATTAGAAAATAAACACGAAAATAACCCCCTAAAAATAAAAAAAAGACTTAAAACTCACCCACAATAACTTCTGACAAGATACACATTGCAGATCTTCAACATTACAACTCTTCGACGACACATGACGTAGAAGAGCGTTCTGTAATGCTTCCGGCTGCCTCAGATGACGCCTACACACTGACCTCGACTAATACTGTTGGTTGGATGCTTATCCACCGAACACATAGACAGAGGTGACAACAGACGAGCTTATTTTACCCTCCGAACGACCCGATTTACAAGACCAGATACCCCCTCTGACCCCTAGTGAAGTATCAGAAAGACTGAAAAATCTCAGCTTCACCCCCGCATTTAGAAAGAACTCTTATCTCTTACTGAGTCAGACATACAAACACACACTACACTACATAAGGAGGTTTTCTAACCGTTGTAAAGAGTCCAAGGACAAGCATGTAGCGAGAGTTACCCTGGTGCTAAAAATCAAATGGAAAAAAAATAACACTACTTAGAGTGAAGCGAGAAATAAATAAAAGTAATGAGCATAAATGCTCATTACTTTTATTTATTTCTCGCTTCACTATTTCTCGCTTCATTAATACTCACTATTTCTCGCTTTAGTAAAACAAAAACTACAGATCTACTTACTTGCAGTTTCTACTTTTATTATTATTATTATTATTATTTTATTTTTATTTCCTCTCCTCTCCGTGGTTGATAAGTCGCATCCCTACGTGTCCTCTTTCCGTTCATTTAATCAAATTAGAAATGAATATTTTACCATTGCGGCTGGATGTTCGAAATGCTACGATACCGAGCGGTAATTTTCCATATGGGTTACATTACCGTAATGAAGAAACCAGGCCGGTTTGGATAATTTATTCTTTAGCCAATTATAAAAAGTTCGATAATTGGTTTTCGGTGAGGAATATCGATCGGTTTTAAAAATACAGTTAATTACTTTTATGTGTTATTTGATACCAGTCGATCTTGCCGTATTTTAAACTGCAGTGAGCTACGGAAACGTTACCCGTGGGCTTAAAATTTCCCAACTCCTGATGGATAAATTGTACTACTTTTGAAAAACTTGGCTGCTTCTGGTGTTTTAGTATTATTCTTTTTTACTTCGTCCTCTTAGTCATGAAGTACAGCAAACTTTCTATCTAGTAGATACTGAAACTGTTCTTGACGTAAAGGAAAATTCCCCTTCCCTCTCTACATTACTTCTCTTCCTCTATTCCTCTGTACGAGGCGATAAATAAACACAGTAAAATACCGATTAAATCAATTTTTGTATTGATAATAACGCATGTATTTTTTATTTTCTTTTAATCTCCGTTAACAATACTTTCGGTTGGAGACTCTGTGTCGAGGAAATCCTGACAGAGCGAGAGGTGTCTGGTTACAATTACTCATACCAGAATTTATTACTAGTTACCGAATGAGTAGCGGTTACGGTTTTAGATTCGATAATTCTTCTTAAAAGTTTATTATTTTAATAAGGAATGAATTCTGTTTTATAGATTTATATAAAAGTTTTTTTCTTTCTCTTTTTTTTTCCAGATCTCACTCCCGAAGAACAACAACTGCTGGCCGATATTCGACGAAGGAAAGCAGAACTGCTTAGAGAGATTCAGGTAAATATAGTAATAAAACCTCCAGAGACGAAGAAGTAAATGGGAATTTAGAAAAAAAAAAATAATAATAAAAATAAAAACACCCCCGAATATCTCGACTTATTTACGCCTTTACTCGTGACCTTAACTAAAAATTGAACTTTTCGCATCACTCGTCGACACTTCTTCCCCCCCTCTCGCTAGTTATTCCAGTTTGGGTTACAGTAGCGGAAATGTGGCAGCCACGCCTCTCTCTCTCTCTCTCTCTCTCTGTGTGTGTGTGTGTGTGTGTGTGCAGTTTGTAAGTTCGCAACAGCTTGTGATCTGTATAAATAACTTCAATAAAGTTTTTTCTGAAGACATTGCTGGTACGTATAATTTGTCATCCTATCCTGCGCTGTGAGTGGACGAATTATCGTAAACATATCGAAACTAGATTTATATATAAGTAAATTAATTTAATTTCTATCGTCAAACTACTTTTTATTTTTGAACTAAAAATAATATTGGTCTAATTTTTAATTAATACTCAGGTACCGAAAACGATATTATTTACTCATACATATACAAAAATAACTTTGTCAAAAGAACAATTTTCTATGTTATACAGTAAACATATTTTTAATATCAATATATATATACAAATTAAATGTTACATAAAAACAGAATTAAAAGAAATCATGTACAAACTTTTTAAAATTTCTATTGTTAGTTCAGTTTTTAAAATAGAATTTTCTTGTTTTAATTTAAAATTAAGATCACCTAAAGCAGTGTTTATCAACAGGGGCGATATCGCCCCCATGTGGGCGTTTTTCCATGTTGAGGGGGCGATTAGTAACAATTTATATTTTGGGGGGCGAAAAACAATTTTCTGGGCGATATAGTAAAACATTATATTAAGAATAATTAGACATTTTATTCGTTATATCGTACAATAATTAAACAAATAACATTATTGTAGTCACTAGTCTATTCGATGCAGTACGAATTTGGCGTTAGCCTTGGCCCTCGGCATCGGAATTTTGAAGTTAAGGGGGCGATACTACGTAACGGTTTTATTGAAGGGGGCGACGATTATTTACAGGTTGAGAAACACTGATCTAAAGTTTTATAATCATTACATTTAAGTGATTCTTCTAGTTTATCCCGTTTATTTACATCTAAAAGTTTTCCTGTTACTTTTTTTTTTCTATTTCTTTGTAATAAACGATTCTTTCTTTGATTCTACTGATTAATAATTTCATTTTCTATATTTATTAAATTTACTGTCAGTAGTAAAGTTTTCTTTAGTTTAGGCTTTGCCAATAAACCTAATAACTCGGTTTTTAAATTTCTCTCAAAATCATTTTCTGTGAAATGATCAGAGCGAACATAACAAGAATCAGGATTGAATTTGTCTTTTCTTTTACAATTATGAATCCATTTTCTTATTATTGGATCTTTAGGAAATCTAAAATAACCAACTTTCCTGTTTAATAAATTTGTGTTATGATAGCTGTTATTACAAGTTGCAACAACACATGATGCTCCTGTCATCTAAAAATAAAAATAATAATGATAAAATAATTTAGCTATTTTTTCTTTTTAATTTTCTTAAATATATGTAATCAAGATACAATATTCTGAAGTAAAAAAAAGTAATATTTGTAAAAGTTATTTATAGTCGTCATTTCATCGTATATTCTAGGACCTTGGGGAAACACTGGCTTATAGGCTACACGGGCCAGGGTAGAGCGAGCTCCTTTATTACATTACTATTAGACTATTATTATTACTTTTTTTTTTTAACAAATGAAATATGTAAAATGTTTTATTAACAAGAAGTAGTCTTAAACAATTTTATTACTCACCTGGCTCTGTTATATATAACAGAGGAAAAGTGTGGCAATCGTTAATAAATTACAAAGTGGTTAATTATACATACAGTACGTATACTCAATTGGCTATTTAACTCTTTTAAAGCAATGACATAAAGATGACAGTTTTAATGTTATTTATAATTTAGGATATCGTAAATTTCGATTATTGATATCCTAATTATGATATCGATTATTGAGAAATGAGAATTAAAAATAATGGCACTGAGGAAAATCTTGATAGCAAAATATCAAAATTTTATAATACATCGGTGGAAACATGTTCTTGTTCATTTTGGAATTCTTTTAGTGCACCATGTCGTCATATTCTTATGATAAGAAAATATAAGAATTTGGATATATTTTCAAAAATTGCTTTCATGCAAGATATATTATTTCAATTGAAAATGCACTAAGTATGGATACAGATGATGTAAATGTAGACANATCACGAACTCTGTCTGGCAACACTTGCCAACAAGAGTGGCTGGCAACGTCAAAAAAGGAAAGGCGCTAAAGTTCGTTGGATTTTGTCCGGGTGTTGCCCGAGGATGTCTGTGACAGTTCTAACCTTTTCTAATAAAGTTCTTTTTTGTTACTGTTCGTGTTTGCCTGCTTAATGTTAGATCTAAACATCAGTAGGATTGAATGACAAACTCTAAAGAATATTTCTTATAAATTACAGCAGCCCTTATTTATGTCTTGACAAATTGAAACTACCACTGCATGTGAAATAATAAAGGACAATGGTAGGAATAAAATACTGTATTTCGTTGCAAAAAGAAATTCAATGGCAATTGGTAATTTAAAATTTATCGACTCGAGTGCTTTTAAAATTTGGGGAACCAAAAGAACTGCGATATAACAAGGAGCTACTGTATTATGTGGGTTGAAAGTAACTAGGCATTGAGAAATCGCTACAGTTTTTGTAATATTAATGTAATTATAATAAAAATTTATGTATGTATGTACACCAATTAATGGAATTTTATAATTTTTGCATCAGTGGTGTGCGCAATGACTGAGAGGCCACACGCACAATGAAATAAAAGATAGCGGACTGTTTGTCTTTTCAGGAGTGAGCGCTGATTGCTGCACACTATGAATGTAGAAATCAATGGTTGTTGTGCAGAGATGGTGAAGTAGGGTAAAGGAATTTCATGCCACACGATTTGTTCAGAAACAATCAAGAATTGAGATTCAAAGCTAATGACCACAGCTTCGGTTCTGGCAATCCATCCACATTATGATCTGAGAGAAGTGTGTCGTTGGTGGATGGTACCTGTGCCAACATCAAATTTAATGTATGCATTCATATTTCCACTTAATAAAATACATGTCAAATAGTTTTCATCATTTTTTTTCTATAAAAATACAGAAATTATAGCAATTTATCAATACCTTGTTACTTTCTACCAACCTGTACTGTACATCAACTTGAAGTACATTCACACATTTCTATGCAAATAATATGCTTTAAAACTGTTAATTTAAAAATTCTCAATATTTCATTAATGATACTAAGCACATTTTTATATTAAAACCAAAATTTATTTAATATTAATTCATTGATAATTTTTATTTTAAATTTTTAAATGAGATGGTTGAAAGATCAATTCAGAAGAGCTGATCGCAACAACAATGGAAGTTTAAACTTCAAAGAATGTCTTATACTTTTAGGACAAATGAATATCTCAATGGAAAAAAATCACGTTAAATCAATGTTTGATGTAAGTAAAATTTAATTTTGTATTAAATCTTTGTATAATTTTAAAATATAGTTAAGGTCTGTAAAGCAAGAAAAGGCTAAGAAAAGATTTGGTGGATCTTATGAATATTTAGATGAAGTAAAGTTATATTTATAATTCAATAAGATTAAATTCAAATGAATCTAATTTGTCTTTAATTAATGAGTTTGAAATGCAAGAATTTTTACTATAAGAATATTTCTTAACAATTAAAGTGTTTTAGTTAATTCTTTTGATGATGATTTATATTTAAACAATATATATTTTATAGGAAGCAAATTTTCGAAAAATAAAAATTAATGATGAAGATGCTTTAGATCCTGAAGAATTCGTTAAGTTTTTTCACAGTTTACAGTCGAGACCTGATGCAGAAGCATTATTTAAACAGTAATTTGTTTTTCTTTTTACTATATTATAAATTTTTTAAAATATTAAGTAATTGTTGAAATTAAAACTTTCAGATACACAGCCAATAATTCAACTATTATGGGTCCTGAAGAATTGCGTAATTTTATTCATAAAGAGCAAAAGGTATTTAACAAGTCTTTTTAGTTCTTTCTGCTATATACATGGTTCCTACTCACCTGGAAAGACAGGGATTTTCATTAATGTTTGGAAAAAGTTATGAAAAGTCAGGGAATTTGTCTGCTTAGCTGCCTTGATTTTGTTTGTGGAATATGGATAACCAAGTATAGCCATCTGCAAGCGGCAAGAAGTAATGCTGCAACCTTTATTACAAATATACCAGAATCTATTTTTCTATTGAAACATTTTTAGTATTAGAGGACACCACTAGATATACAAATCAGTCAAAATTTTTGTGTCTTTCTTAGTGGCATAATGGCTTTCCTTATCTGATATCATCCAAATCATCTTCCAAAAACATTGAAAATTTTTCTTGACACTTGTGCTGTACCTTGTACAATTGCATATAATGAATTAATTTTATGCATGTAATAAGTCTTACTTATTGTTCTATTATATTGTAAGAATATATTTTAAAATCACTCAAAATCAGAACTTTAAATCATATCAAATTTGTTTAATTTTTTAAAAATTTTGTTTTAATGTTTTGACAATTAATACAAAGTTTTACTTTTACTGACAGTTGCAGGTCACTTTTAAAACTAACATTAATTGTTTATGTGAAGAATTATTATAAAATGCAACACTGAGGAGAGCATTGCAAAACTACTTGGATCAGATAGTCACTAATGTAATATAGTGCCAGATCAATCAGCATTTTTAAATTTTAAACATTTTGAGATTTTAAAAACACCTTATCATGAATTTGAGAGAATAATCTGCAATACTCTTGATAATGTGACATCAGTTAAAATTTTTCCACAATATTTTAAGGCTTAAAAACTGTCAATATTGATCATACCTGTAGTAATACTGTAGTATATTATAGTTTTGAATATCAAGAAAGAAAAAAAAAGAGAGAAGACATGTAGACAAGAAAGTCAAGAGTTTCTTATTTGTGTGTTGTCCTTTGTTTTAGTGTCTGTTATAGCGAAAGGACAGAAGTGATTGCAAGGATTAAAATAAATTTTAAGTTCCTTGCATTGGAGTCATAGCATGTGATTTATTTCTTTGAAGTTTCTTTTTGTTTTGTTTCTGCATGGGGAATACTCTAAAGATCGAGTACTTCCCCACAAGTTGATGTTCACAGTAAGTAAAATGCTGTTTTATTATGTCAATATTCCACACTGTAAGAAATGTGAAGGTCAGGGAATTTGGACAAAGTTGGTCAGGGAAAGTCAGGTAATTCAAAACAACAATTTGAGTAGGAACCCTGTATATAAAGTATTAAAAACAGAATACAATATATACACTGTAATTGTAGAATCTTCAAATTTCCTTCATATAATTTTCTGTCAGATAATTATTCTGTAATCGGATCATATAATTATTTTCATAAATTCTAGAAAGTTCTTTAGCATTTCACTAGTTTTATAATAATAATAATATACTGTATTCTATTCCACTTGAAAAAAAAGCTGCATATCAATTGCTTACTGATTAAATTATACAAAGCACATTCAGTAGAAGACCAAAAAAGTACTATTAAAAGTCAAAGGACAAGCAATAGCTTAGTAATTTTGACATATGGAACTTTCAAGTCAGAGGCAACAGTAACTGCAACTGGCAACATGTTGATGCACAAGAACATAAGACAACAGACCAATAAAATGGTGGTGCCTCTCCAGCAGTGTACGAAGCATTAGTGGTGTAATATCTGATTTTTCACAAAAACCAAATCATCATCCATTGGCACATGCAGATACAATAAGGAGAAAACTACATAATTGCACACAGGTGTACAAATGAGATAAAGATTATATTCTAAGATTCTAAAGAACAAACAGTCAATTCTATGGAAGATTCTCTAAGGCTGGGACTTCAGTGAATGTCATGGAGAATCTTCCATGGAACTGCGGCTGTTTTTTGGATCCTTAGAACTCTGTAATCATCTCCGGGTATATAAGTAGAGTTGCACACTTAAAAAATTTAAGAGATATTTTCAATTGGTGACTTTTGACCAATGAAACTGATATTTCATACCATCCAAGTATCACGATAAACCTGATAATGGTAGGCTGAAATAACCAAACTCTCTATATGGTTTTTGTTTAATGTTTGTTATAGTATTTGATTTATATAACTACAAAGGTTATCTTACATAAGGGTTTATCACACTGAGTGACCAATCAAACACATTTTAAAAATTCTTTATTTCTCTACTGTACACAATTTAAAGAATTTTTAAAATGTGTTAAATTGGACACTTGGTTTGATTAAACCCTTATGTAAGATAACCTTATAGTATTTGATTTATATAACTACAAAGTGTTAGAAGTACAAAATAATCTAATAATCTTAACCTTTATTATTATTATTTTTTGCCCAGGCAATGCCAGGTTCATCTTCTAGTGACATCTATCTTAAGCCATAAAATTATTTAATATAATGTATAATCATGAACCAGCAAGGTGACAAAGATGAAAACTAGGTATGATAGGCAGGATAGTTGAATCTTGATTAAATATAATAACTCATAAAATCATTTCCCACACAGCTACTTTTTGTTTGACTAGATATCTGCATATCCATCTGTTTGTGCTTTAAGATAGAAACTAATAGTGCCACTTGATATGCTAGGTTTCATTTCATGATGAGTATCTATATTGTAAATTTGACAGTTTTATCTAATGACAAAAATTGAAAAGGATAATAGCATCAAAATTTTTGTTTGTTTCTTCACTACTAGGTGCATAAATAGACACAAGGCATTTTACATCATCATTATTGATATTCTATTGGCTGATACTCGTTTCGGGCAAGGCCCCTCATTCGTCGGCATTACATCTGGAATAATCTTTAAACTTCGTTGCTAAATATATATTTTTTTATGTTTAAAATTGTACTGTATTTACAGTTAAAATCGTTAAAATATCATTGCTGTTTAAAATATATTTATGATTTTAATTTACTATTACTATATCAAAAACAGAAAATTTATCAGTATTGTTCTGAGTGACAAATCTGGATGGATTGAAAAACCCAAGAAATTTTTCGAGCGACAGGCCTGGCCGACCCCATTATGGTCTGATTAAAACATCCTCTTAATGCTCACAGAATGGAAAGAGTAAAAATAAAAAAAACTTTTGAATAGTTGCTCTTAAGATTTAGATCGAAGTTTTGTAAAATCACAATGTTTATATTTAAAACTAGCAGACCCCTCCACGCGTTGTTGTGGCTCAAAATGTATCTATTATAAATGTATAACACTCCCCCGTGGGAGGAGGAATATTTCGAAAAATCCCTTCTTAGTGTACATTCTCTTGACGTACCGTATTAAAACGCAATCAAAAACGCAAAAAACTGCATCTAAAATAGTATAAATAGAAGCAGAGTTCTTTACGGTAAGCCTTAATCCTGTCCATCTCCCCCCAGTGGGGGGAATATTGACAGAGCCGGCCCTACCATAGGGCGAACGGAGCAGCCGCTCCAGGCATTAAGTCTAGGGGGCGCCTCAGTGGTAAAGAAAATTAAAGGGTATAAATTAGGGGCGACCAAGGGGGCGCCACAATAGGATCTCGCTCCATCCTAAATCTCGCCTCGGGCTGTCATTGAATATTGACATGTATATTATATAAAAACAAATACGTATTCGAATGCAGCGTTGTGTGAAAATTTCAAAGGAATCGGTAGGAACAAACGAACATTACATTTTTATTTATATAGATAGATAGAAGATGATCTGCTTTAGTTCATCCTCACAGAAAAGCATAATGCCTCACAGAAAAGTAAACTTAGGTCGTCGTACTCGTAGTGCCATCTTCTGGACATAAAAACCTTAACCCTAGGTGATATCTTTTAATTTATATGAATGTTTAACGGAATAACATACAGCCTATGTCCACCCTGAAGTTCCATTCTAAATACTGGTGAAAGAATTTTTGAAATCGGATGAGTAGTTTCGGAGATTACCCCCTGCAAACAAACTTACAAACATTACCTCTTTATAATAATAATATAGATAACATAAATTCATAATATTTTAAAATTTTATTTTATGTTTATGCAAAATAAATATTAAATTTTGACTATAATGATTTTAGTTGACACCTTATTCCCATTTCTGAGATAATTCTTGATTTACAAAATTCTAAATTTTGGCCCCTCAATTACATCAATTTTTTGCCTTCAGCCATTTTAAAGTTGGCCTGATCTAAAAGTTTTGAGAAGTCTGCAATCTACTGTTTAGAAAAACTACATTAAGTTGCTTAATACGAATGATACTTAGTAATGTAGTATCTTAAGATTTATGTAAAAAGTTATTTATTTCAGATGACAAAAGTATCATTGGAAGACTGCAAACAACTCATCGAACGTTATGAACCAGACAAAAGCAAATTAGAAGGATATTTATCAGTTAGAGGTGTGATATGGACCAAGTTAATTTTTCAAATATAACTTTTTAATTATTTAATTTTAATTTCAATGAAAGCATTTTTTATAAAATTAGAATTATGCAGGTTTTATCCAGATGTTACTATCAAAAGAACATTCTGTGTTATCACCGGAACACAATTTTGTTTGTCAAGATATGAGTCAACCATTAAGTCACTATTATATTGCTTCATCTCATAACACGTAAGTACATTTTTAATCCACATTATATATAGTTAGTGCCCACATGGTAGAAAACATTTATGAGGGTTTGTTTTAATAAGCTCATTATGAGTTCAGCCAAGCCCAGAATGGGATGGCTGGATGGTGTGGGACAAGACCCAATATATTTGGAATGAGAGAAATTCCTAAGATTTTTTGACCTGTCTTGATTTGATTCTGGGATCCCCTTAACCATTTGGTCATCCAGTTAAGTATATTTAAAATCATCATGAATCAGTTTTGCAATACAGTTAAATTGTAATTTATTTTAATAAAAAATTTATACTACATTAACTTTATTTATTTACATAAGATTTTATAAATATTCACAAGAAAATATATCAATTATAAAATTATCATATAAAAGCATTTTATATGACAATTTCACTAGCGTGTTGTGGTGTTACGAATGGTGACCTTTAGCAAATGTCAAAATTCTCTGTACATCATAACAATAATGCACCACAAATTATCCCAGCAACAGCCTTCCAACCCATAAACTATGTGAACTCTGCCATAACTTTCCTTATTAGGAAAGCTTACCTCCTACCTTCCAACCAAGTGCTAGTAGAAGAAGAATTGCAACTCATTAGTAGTGCTATGCAAAAAGCTGGTTATTCTCAATCTAAATTCTGTTTTCTCCAAAATTGTGTTAAAAATAAGCTTTTTCCACAGTCTTTTCTTCATAACAAAAAGGAGCTAAAAATAGTACATCCCTTGATTCTGTTTTTAGGCCCCGTTTTTCTAAAAATAGTACACCTTTTTAGAATGAATGGTTTTATATTATCGTTAACAACACAACCAACATTACGAAGATTATTATGTAATGATAGAGATATTTTTAAATTGAATGAAATTTTGGGGTCTTAAATACCACTAACACATGATTTATCAGTAGAAGAGACCAGCTAGCTACATAAGGGCCATGGCCAGAAAGTTAATTTCTTGCATCCTAGAACAACAGGATGATATCAGAAACAACAGACGGTCAACCACATTAACTAAAAAAGTGCTTGAGCAAGATTATCAGCCACTCTGGGCCCAAACAAAATTACTCAAATAGTGTAACAATCAGCAAGAATTATTTATTTGGGAGAACCTTTAACATCTCGGTCTTAACACGATGCAACACTACTACTGAGATCCCACAAATATGGACATTATTTAAGTAAACTAATCAACTTCTCTAGTACATTATTATTGTTCACTACACACTTTTGGATATTACAATACTCATACGGCTGATCAAGAGTTTTTGAAGTTTATTCTATTTCAAATTCAAATTGATATTATATCCACATGCTTTTTTTTAATTCCATAAGCTGTTTGAGTGTTCCAAAGTTGGAAACAGTTGTATTCAATTCTTCACCTGATGATGATAGCTTTATGCTATTCGAAAGTGCTTGTGAACTCTTTTATTTGCTAAAGGTCGCCATTCGTAACGCCACAACACGCTAGTGAAATTATGTTATAAAGTTAAATGTTGACATGAAGTGTACTTTTCTTTTATAAAAGCATTTTAATTTTCTATATGCAAAGATTCATTCTATTTTTATTAAATTATTTTTTACTCCTGATTTTTCAATGTAAGCAAAGTTCTAAGTATATCCTACATATAGGATGTTTTAAATGTTTAGCTACAAAAGTCAATTTGGGTACCTTCCCCATATATCCAATAATTACCCATAATTATATTTTCAATGAAGCAATTGTTCTTACTATCAGTTTTAGCTTATTAATTTTTTACTTGCATTTTTAGATTATTGAACAACCTAAACAGGTCATAATCAGATCAGAAAATGTGTTTTGAGTTTTCTACAGACAAATTCTTATTGTTCCATTAAAATTTGTTTGGTAATTTTTGCTTTGATAGACAATATAGCAAGTGAATTTAAGTGAGTCTGTTTCATTGTGCTGTGTATGGTTTTTTTTCACTTTTTAAAACTGAAAACAAACAAGCTCTGTTAGTGTTTTGATGAGAATGTAAGGTAAACATACAGCAAAAGGAATAAGTTTGGGAACATGGATTCTAAAATTTGATGGGTTTGTGCAATTTGACTGGGTTAGTTAGAAGTTACAAATTGCAAAAGGACATTATAAAATCCCTCTTCTTAGTCATTTGTATAAATTGTTTTACAAAACCTGACTCCATGAAAATTTTTTTATATTTTTTTATATTTCCATGAAAATTTATCTTTACATCTATCAGTAGTAAGTGTGTGGTTTTTTTCAGACCCATTGTGCATTCAGTTATGCCCACACAGGAGTGACAAGATGGTGAGGGACAAGGCCTGACATATCTGTAATGGATCACTCTCAAAATATTTCTTGGCTTTTTCTATCAGCCTGGATGCAATCCCAGTCCCCCAGAGCAGTAGGCCTTACAACCTTGACCATGAAACACTTTATTTGTCTTTTGTAATGATGCAATAGTATATTCTATAACCTACTTATGAAAAAAAAAAACCCCAAAAACTAAAAAATTTATTCATGTAATTATTCATCTCCAAGCTTTGTCCTCCTAGAAAATTTTTTGTGGATGCCCATGAACAGATGCTACAATCTTATTTACTTAATTGTATCTATAATTCTAAATATATAAGTTATAGATTTTGTATGTATATACAAAAATATTTTGGGATTCATTCCACATCTGAACCAAGTACCAGAATGGCATTTCAGTCTCAATATACCATTGGTTTATATACGAGTATGTAACAGTTGCATAGAAGTTTCCAAATGTAAGTGAGAGTTCAAATTTTATTTGTGACTATTTGAACTCATTTCAAAATTTTTATTTCATTAGCCAATTTTTTATGAAACTAGTGGCAATCAATGATTGTATTTTTAATTATTCTTAACTTAAATAACTTTTTGTTAAAAGAAAAACTAAATTTAATAAACATTAAAATAGTTCAAAAAATAATTGTTTTATCAAATTATAAATTATACCAATTTATGTATTTCTGAAGCTTTTTATATTGAATAGACTTAATCATTGAATTTATATTTACATTTTTTGAACTTCAAATTTAAATAAAAACTAAGCAAAAAAAAATTCTAGGTATTTGATTGCTGATCAATTACTTGGAGAGAGCAGTGTAGAAGGTTACATCAGAGCTTTGGAACAAGGATGCAGATGTGTTGAACGTACGTAATTCACAAAGATTATTATTTTTTAAATATTTTATTATTTGAAATGATTTTAATTGTATGTTATTGATACAGCCTTTATATTGTTCCTATTTCCTATTTATAGTTTTTTAAATGACTATAGTGTCCCTATATTGAGGTAAGGTAGCCTGTTTGTCAGGATAATGCCTTTCAGTTTTTAGAGAACTGATAAACTTGGTCACATGTCTGTAGGAAAGTAAAACCTCCCCATATAAGTGCTGCATGATCATTCTGGAAAGGAAGGATAGAAGACCAACTTTGTTTTAAAACTATAAATTTAATTTATTTTTATTAAACCTAATTGATATACTGTACACAAGTTGCCAAAGCAGGAACCTTTGCAAAATATGCAAATCAATATGAAATACCATACACACTTTCCAGCAAATAACATATATATTTTTTTTACTTCCTATATACAGGGTGTATAAGAGTTACGTTTTAAAAATTTGGGGGATTGTAGAGGATGAAATTTTGAATGTTTTGATATAAGGAATCCATAGCCGGAAATGTAATAGAAAGTTTCTACAGCACTTTGCAGTCGGTACGCTGAATGAAACAGCAGAATACAGTATTTATGACAAGTTTTATTGACAAAACAGTAGAGTACTGTCAAACTGTACATCGAATCAGTGGCTGCACTATTTTAGAGTAAATGTTCAATGTGACGACCACCAACTTCGTTACATAATGTGCAACGATGAACCATGTTTTGTCCGACACTCTGTAAGATGCCATGTTCCCCTCTGATGGTATTAAATGCTGTAAAGATGTGCTCTGTAAGCTCATGAACTGTTCCTACAGGTGTTGCCTACACAAGGGACTTTACATAACCCCAGAGGAAGAAGTCAAGAACAATAACATGACGTCTATGGACGGAAGGGTAGCTACCAAAGTGAAGGGCAGTCAAGCACTTCCTAATGCTATAGAAACTTTATATCATATTTCCGGCTATGGGTTCCTTATATCATAATGTTCAAAATTTCATCCTCTACAATCCCTCAAATTTTTAAAATGTCATTCTGATACACCCTCTATATGTATGTGTGTATTTTTTGGTCTCTTGGGGCCTGATGCAGGCTGAAATTTTGATTTCTGAATTACCTGAAATTTTGATTTCAATACACATTATTTGCTAGAAGAGTGTGTGGTGTTTCATATTAATTTTATATAATGTATATCACAAAAATTTTGTTTTGTATATCCCCATAAACAATATTACAATATTGTAGGTTATATATGAGATTTAGCAGTTGGTGAATCAAGATGCCTCAAATTATGCACATCTGAGTTCATTGCAGTTTCAATGAGATGTTTCATACTTAGATTCAGCAAAGTTTGATTATTATTATTATTGAGATCTTGAAGTGGAAATAACTTTATCCATTCCTTCCAGTGGTTTGAACTAAGCAACATTTCCTTTTCCTTTGTTTTTGCTGGGAGATAGTTTAACAGGTAGTGAAAAGACTTGATTAATCATCAAGGATAGAAATTTCCATGTAGGTTGATTACTTGAACTTACTCTGAGTTGGTTTGAAGAGATTAAGTGAGAGTTTTCATATTTAAAATTACTATTGTAAGCTAGTTTGCCCTTTTAATTTACATATATTCCAATTTTTTGGCTGAAAAGCTAAAAATAAATTTTAGCTTTTAATGTCCTAATTAAATACCTAAATTTTTTTTTTCTAATTTGATTATAATAACCTTAATTTAAAATCTTTAAAATTAAAGGTTATTGCTATACACAGTAATTATATAATCAATTTATCTAATTCATTATTTTTTTAATAAAAATACTCTGAAAAATATATTCTGTATCATTTCATCATTAGCTGTACATTAGAATGAGAGATTAAAAAATAATAATAATAATAATATTTCCATGATCAATCAACAATTGATAATGTTTTAGTGATACTTTAGTAATTAATAAAGTTAGTCCAGAATATAAACCACAACTATACCCAGCAGAAAACAATTAAATATGTAATCCAACACCTTATTTTTCGCTGAGAGATTATTTTTAATTAAAACAAACGTTTTCGATCCATTCATTGGATCATCCTCAGGCTAAATAGAACACTTCATAAATAGAACTACTCGTTTAAATATTCAAAAATACAAATAAACCGATAACATAAAAATAAATAATACTTGTAAATAATACAAATATTCAAAATAAATAACATAATATCATTACTAAATAATAATATCGTCTGCCTAACTATATAGAGCTTATTATTTCATACTAAATTTCCTGCGCTTTTTTTAAGCTTTTAACCGCAAACTTCCAAGCGGAAGGAAGACCCTCCGCATCTCTTGCGTTAATACATTTTTCTTCAAGTTTGCTTCTATAGATTTCTATCTTTTCAGCTGTTCTTGCCAA